GCATTCTTCAAACCGAACGGCATGCGGAGGAAAGGGTACAACCCGCAGTGCGGCGCGAACGTCGTCTTGTCGCGGTCCTCCTCGGCGATTTCTACTTGCCAATACCCGCTGTTGCAATCCAGCGTGGTAAAGACAGTAGCGTCGCCGAGGGAATCGATGCACTCGTCCATCCTCGGCAACGGATAGGAATCCCGAATGGTGACTGCGTTGAGCTTTCTGTAGTCGACACAGAACCGCATGGCACCATCCTTTTTAGGGACGAATACCACGGGGCTTGCCCATTCGGTCGTGGCGGGTTCGATTACCCCTGCCCGGAGCATGCGGTCGATCTCCGTTTTCTCTTTCTCCCGTGCGGTTGGTCCAGCGCGGTAAGGCGCCTTGTAAATCGGGCGAGCACCGGGCTTGAGCTCAATCCGGTGCTTCGTGGCCCCGATTTTTCCCAGCCGGCCGGTCTACATGTCCTTAAATTCGGACAGTACCTCGAGGATCTCCGAGCGTACCTCGTCATCCTCGGCACCGATGTGGACATCCTCCTGCCAGGCGTTGGGGTCCTCCTCAGGGGCGGCGGTGTCTTCGGGTTTATCCGTTCCAACCGCCCCGAGGTGGGCCTTGGGCGGCGTGGCTTGTTCAGCCCCGCCCTTGTCCGTACGGTTATCGGCGGCTTCTTCCGCGCCATCCTTTGCGGTTGAGAGGTTGGAATTAAATATCCCTCCCCCTTCCTTAGCTTCGGCCGCTTCCGCGGCCGAGTCGCCAAGGGTCAGGATGTGAGTGGGCGACGGAAGAGCCAGTCCGATTACGGTATGCTTCGGGATGTGAACCGAGCGGTGTCCAAAATTGCTGAGCATTACTGAGAACGGTTTTTCGGGGACAACATCCATGACCCCCTGTGCCATGAGGGTCAAATTCTTGTGCGCGGTTTTTGGGGAGTTCTGTAAAAAACATAGCCCCCCTACCGGCGTGGCGACCCTCACCATGGCCTGCGTCATCGGGGGAATTGTCACCCCTCTGACGAGGCGGATCTTCCGTGACGGTGTGTTGGCGGGGAACGCCACCTGCTTCCGTTCGGGTTTATCCGACGGCGGCAGTTGTTGTGCAGTGCTCCTCGAGGCCATCTTGCGGTCGTGCCTCGAGGGGGTTGTTCCGACCAACGCCACGGGTGGCGCATCGTGGAACACGACCTTCCGTTGCGGTGGGAGGATCGCCTTGACGTGGCGATCCAGGAAAGTCGTATCGAGGATACAGTCCACGGCGAGGCTTGTGGCTACCAGGAACGGGACGCGGGCCACAAACTCACCGATTCGGACGAGCAGGGGGATTTCCCCTAGTGCCCTCATCGCGCAGTTTGACGCGTCGATGAGCGCTGGGCTCCGAACCGGTTTCATCGATGGTCGCCACGACTCGGCGACACACCGTAAATAGATGAGGTTCGGGCCGGCTCCTGAGTCAAGCACTGGCGTGATGGCGACCATCAACGCCTGCTTCTGACCAACCGTCGCGGAGATCTTGTAATTATGCTTCTTGAAGAAGCAGATGGCCTGGACTTCCGTTCGGTTACCCGGCTGCGCTTCCACTGGCGCAGCCGGATCGGGGTGCCTAAGCTTCTGAGGCTGGGCACGGGGAGAGACTTCGTCGCCTCTACGCGTCCTCCCCGGCTTCCCCCGTCAGCAGCAAGTCCTCGCGGGTTTCATCCGCGGCTCGCGCCACGTGGTCCTCGGTGTGGTCGAGGTGCGGTTCGTCGACCACGTTGACGCCCGCGGGGGCCGTTTGACGCTGGTTTCGCCAAGCGGACGGCCCCTGGCAGTTGAACGGGGATCCCGGGCGGAGGCCTTGCCGGATGCGTAGCTTCTGGTAATTGGCCTCTCGTGCCTCCAGAAGCTTGTCCTGCAGGCCCGCATCGGCAAGGACGGGGCACACCTCTTGTCGGTGCGTGGTGTCCAGGCAGAACCGGCACGGTGGCGGTCTGGGAAATCTCCCGCCGGAGAACCGGACGCGAGGATCCTGCCCTTGTCTCCCGTACGGTCCTGTGCGCACGTCGCCAGGGTTCGCGGGTGGCACTGGGGCGCTCGCCGTCGAGGCTGCCGGCGACGGATAATAACTCGTCGGTGGCGAGCTCATCGAGGTCGGCGTGGCGGTTTGGTCCGTCACGGCCAGGATTGCTTCTTCAGCCAATCCTCCGGCCGTCGGGATGTCGGACGCCGACTCAACTGACAGCACGGGCCTCGTCCTTGCGGTGCGGTCGAATCTTCTAGCCGCTCCGGACGGCTCTCGGTGAGCCATGGCTGACATCCCTTGTCGGCGGGAGGCCCGATTGGTTTCCTCGATCGCTCGCGCATAGCGAGCGACGGATTGGTAGTCCACATCCGGGTGCGTGGCGAGGTAGTTACGAACCTGCGCGCACGTGGCGGGCAGTAACCCCTCTACGAACAGGGACTTCAACCGCCTATCGGAGAATACCGTACCGCAGCGGAGTGCCTTGTCCCAGAGGTGGTTACTGTAAACCTCCTCCGTCATGTTTGAACTCTGACGGAAGGAGCTCACATCCCCAACCGCTTCGGAAATTACCTCGTCGGTAGCATAGGTGCGCAACAGAAAGTTGACCACCTGTGGGTACGTCCGGAGCAGCTCGCGCCGCTCTACGTCAACCGCCATGGTATTTCCATTGAGGCGGGACTGGAGTAGGGCGTGAGCCTGACCGGTGAAGTAGAACTGGAAGCACCACACGGCGGCTCCCTCGGTGATCCCGTTGTGGTCGCACGCCATCTTGAGGCGTGCGAGGAATCCCAATACCGCAATCGGATCTTGACCACTGAACGTGTGGGACCTCATCTGCACGTCCAGTTTCTTCCGATAACGGTTAATGTGCCGCGCTACTGTAGAGTCGTAGCGCGAGCTACGCCGTTCCAGGCGGTAGGTCTTGTAGTTGACGGCCTTGGTAAACAGGTCATTGAGGGGCCTGATTACCGTGGGCCGTCGCTCGTCGCTCTTCGGGACAGCCCGGCGGTGTCTGCCCGGGCGACGACGGTCCTCATCCGACTCGGTGTGGTAGTCTTCCGAGTCGGACGGGTCGTGCCGGTGCCGGTCTCGGCTCCTGTCGCGGCGTGCCCTGTGGCCCCGCCTGCGAGAGTCTTCCGAACCAGATGGATCATCATCGGAGGGGTATCCTCCCCCTCCGGCATCGCGGTATCGCCCGTGGCGTGCCTCGCGGTTATCGCGGTATCGCCAGCGGCGTCCCTCGCGGTCTTCATCCGTCCTGTGACGGGGGTCTTCTGCGTCGGAATACCGGGTGTATTCCGCTTCGGTCCTGTGCGTGCCGGGTGCACGTCTTCTGCTCAACCGGTACGGGTCCCGATTCTCTGTCTCGGGGAGCCCCAGGCGGTTGTCTGTCCCGCGGGGGTCGCCCGTACCGGCGAGTATGAGGAGGACATTTTCTGTGGTCCTCCCTGTAGCACCGTGAACGGTTGGGAGATAGATGGCTCTGCCCTCCGGGTGAGGGTCCATCCTATCAATCCCGGGTACGGCGCCGATCGGATCAGCGATATTAAAGCTTGAGCCCGGAACGGTTTGACGGCGCGGCGCCGGCGGCGGTACCGTGCCTCCCGTTTCGGTAAATGTCGTGGCCAGACGGATGGCCACGGCGGAGCTAATAGCTCCCTTTAGAGCCAATGCGGTCGGAGATTCGTCCTCCTCCGCGGCGAGCGCTGCCACCACCTCGTTGCGTACGAGGGGGCGATCTTCTCGTCCAGCAGGGCGCGGAGCGTGGTGTCCGCATGCTCCGCCACCAGTCTTGGTGCTGTTCGGTCGAGGCAAACCTGGACGACCTGAGGTAGTTCCTCAGCGAGGAAATCCTCCATCCAGGTTTGTAGTCGCGGGAGTAACGCGTCGTACAGGACTTGTACGCGGTTCCCCCCACCAGCCGGTAGCCCGACGGTGGTGTCCAAAACGGAAGGGGTCTTCTGGCCCCTGGTAGACGGCGGGCGTAGCAGGGCTTCCGGATTGTCGATCCCGGGGCGCTGTGAGCTTCTGCCACTGCGGGTACTTGCTCGCCCGGAGGCGGTATCTTCTCCGGCGGAATCCGCACGGTTCATCGTCGATGATCACTGGCGATCAACGTGGTGATTTTCGACCTCTTTCAATCCGATCGGTAATTGCTCGCGCTGGCGATCCAGTGCGGGCTCAACCTCTGTAGTTATACCCTCCACAAGAGTACCAAAATGTGGTATAACTACCTTCGTCCCGACCACTCGGAAACGAGGGGGGTTAGAGGTAAGGGAGCGCGCGCCGCTGGGTAACCCACGCGCGAACGCAAACCGTACGGAAGGACTCGAAAAGAGGGAAGGCTCACGTGGCCGGTGACGCGCAGCCGGTCGGTGGTGTTAGATCCCGACGGCCGGTCACGGGTTAGAAGCCTGACACTAAAAGGGAAACCGGAACGGGATAGCAATTAGCCGTAAAGGGAAGGGAGGCGAGTCTGCCCCCGTTTACTGGAACGGGGCAGGTGCCCCCGGTCTTAACCCCTAAGTGGGACGCCAGGACACCTGTCCCGCTACAGTAGCTGTTACTTACTGCATACCAGCTACTGCGATAAATTGGCTAATTTGTGCCATTAACTACTAATTGCTAATTACTTACCGGACGGGTCGCACACGTGTGCCCGTGGCCACGACCGGCGTCGACGGTTATGCCACGTGTACGCCGTGGAGGTACTACTGCGCTTTCCGAGGGCGCGTGCACGATTGCTACAGTAGTAATCGCCCGTCCAAGCGGTGCTCATCTCCCATCGGGGGTCGTGGTGTGGAATTGTACCACACACACCATACCTCGACTGTGTCAAAGTAGACCCTCCCACCAACAAGGAGACCACACGAGAGGACATAGCTGACATATACAGCAGTGCAGTAGGGGAAATAAGGTACATAGCCGACTCTACAAGACCCGACATCGCCTTTGCGGCGACAACACTAGCGTGAGCGCTAAAAGGACCTACGCAGCGCCACTGGAAAATGCTGCAACGACTGGCACAGTACCTCCACGCGACCCGCACGGAGGGAATCCTCATGCTAAGAGGAACAAAACAGGGCATCACAATCGACGCGTTCTCGGACGCCGACTATGCCAACGACGAGACGACGCGAAAACCTGTCACCGGCTCTATCACGCTGCTTAACGGCTCCCCGGTACAATGGCTCTCACGACAACAACCGATCGTCACCAAGAGCACATGTGAGGCGGAATACATAGCAGCCGCCGAAACCGCCACCCTCACAATCTGGCTCGCCAACATGATGAAGGAAACGAGCATACCGACCCGCCAACCCGTCCTGCACGTCGACAATACGGCCGCCGTGCAGATGGCCAAAAACACCGGCGCGACGCGCAGAAGGAAATGTATCGATGTACGATACCATTTCCTGCACGAGACAGTTCAAACCGGCAAACTCAAAGTATCGCGCATTTCCACCACAGAGCAAAAAGCCGACATATTAACGAAACCTCTCAAAAACACGCTGTTCCAAAAACATAAGCACAGCATACAAATCAATCCACCCCCCGCACCGCCAGGAAGCCCTCGCGTCCGGGGGAGTGTGGTTCCTTCCAGAACCGCCAACGACGCTCAGACTTCCTAAACACAACGCTAACATAATGGTTCCATCCAGATAAGGCAGCCCCCACAAATAGGGCATACAGCCATTTAGGGCTACCACAGTCAACAGAATAAAGTCGCCGTCGCCTCCGCCACCTTCGGGGGTCGGAGGCATCGGTCTGATCTTGGCATCACAGTTGGGACCTCAAAATCAGGATGTCCAATCCAATTTCATTTTTTGGATTGGGACTCTGTTCACTGGTGGGGCTGGAAATTGTGCAATACAGTCCAAATTTTGGATTTGACTCGATTTTTTACTACTGCTGTGGACGCTCTGACGTGGCTAAGGCACCACCTCCGCGCATCAATGCAATGCAATTCGGATCACCTTCGTTCATGAATGCAAGTTAGCATTTGGCCCTCCGGAAAGGTCGTGACTCCGATTCGAACCCGACACCAAGTGCATTCCAAAAGCCTCTTTCCCGCGTGGGTATAAAGCGGCGAAGAGTGGTGTCGGCCGCAAATAAACGAAGGCACACGAGCACGCACAGAGCGACTCAGTATGATCATTATTTCTCTGCCTGGCCTTTTCCTACCCCCTCTATGCTTTACCTCTCTGTTCCTCTCTCTGGGCCTCTTATCCTAGATACGACAGTTTTCACTCCTCTACATTACGAGCGGTAGTTCAGGACCCGGTAGCGGCTACAATAGTCTTACTAAGTAAAACCCCCATAGTGCCAAAGCACCAGTTGGCGCGGATGCCTACTGCTGCCGCGGCACCCCCGACGCAGGTGAATAATTCATAGCAGGAGGCAACGACGTAAAAGCTGGCACCGGCTCGTGCGCCTGCTGCGAAAGCCCTGGTTCACGTGTCTCTCACCGGGACCGTCTGCGACGCGTAGTCGTCAGTCAGGGGCAGCGTCAACAATGTCAACGCCTGCTGCGATTGTCCAGTCCCGTGCCATAGCCTGCCAGCAGGAGCCGCCGTACTAGCTGCAGACTCTGGCAGCGCACTCGCTGCTTCTATCTCCGTCACCACTCGCGTGCAACCACACACGTTTGTAAAGGAGTCAAAGCCCTGCACGGGGATATCTCCATCTCGTCCGATGAAGCCGGTGTGCGCACCGCCCGCGCCACAGCGCCATTTGCGCAAGGGAAGCTCCATCACTTCTTCACGATTCGAGTTTTCTTCCAGAGGGTTGGAAGTTGTGTCGTGCCCCAGTGCCTCCTTGATGATGTGGAACCCGGCGTCGAAAGCATTTCCCCGCCTGGATGTGTAAATGCTGACGAGTACGTTGATGACGACCCACAAGACGAGCATGAGGGCGAGCGGAAGGATGTTGACAATCGGCCGCGTTACCACGATTTCAATTGGACATGTAGCCGTCTCGCGCACTTCGAGGGTGAGGGGATTCAACTCCAACCGATTATCCTTTTCGCCTTGCCCAAGCTTCTGTAACGTCATTGAGCCTGTGACATACGCTTGGATCCTTGATATGAGACTGTGGGGACCAAAGTCGCAATCTAGTAGCTGCGCTTTCACTTTTCCACCATCTTCAAAGTTCTCTGCGATGGTAACCATGGTGTTGCACTCTTGTCCTGTCTCTGAACGGAGTGCCTTAGCAATGACTTGGAGATGAACATCAGAATCGATCTTATGCAAATTCGTGAAGAGGAGCGATGTGTCGTTTTCTTGTTGCCGTCTGTCCTTGACCCACTGAATGTAGAAGCTACTCCCGGTAATCTTACTCCTGCTGCTTATTCCTGTAAACAGGTGACGCTTCTCTATTATTGAAAAATTGTGCTTTGACCTTCCCCTTCAGCAGTTTTGAATCCAAACTCCCTCAAGCAAGAACAGTACGATACATTAGATCTGACTTCGCCCAATGTAGTTGTCAGCGGAATTTGAGCGCAAATCCTATTTAAATCTGGAGCCCGCGCTCGAAAGTTAGGGTCCATTTGGATTCGAAAGTCGCCCTTCTCACACCCACTCAGGCGCTTTTCACTCGGGACGGAGATGGCGATAGATGTGATGGCAGCAACCAAAATGAAGAGCATCGCCAGAAGGGGGAGGACAAGCCTGCGGAGTTGGATTTCGTTCCTGTAACGTGTGCAGCCCCTTTCCTTGTACGGGTACCTGCGCGAAATCCAGCAGAGAATGCTGAGGGGGTCGTCGCTGTTGACAAAGATAAAGGAACGGACCCAGGAGGTGTACTCGAAGCTTTTTTCGCGGGAGCTGAAGATGAGCTTGGAGGTGACTGACAGAATGTTGGAAATGATGAAGACAGTGAGCAATGATATGGTGACGGCATTGACAATGTCGCTGGACGTTTGAAGAGTAGAAAAGCTGAAATCGGGCGTGACGTTCAATTGCTGGAGAAGAGTCATGGCGGCCGATGTTGAGGATACAGAAAGAGAGAGAGAAGGGCGTGTGGAGCAAATGTATTTGCCCGAGGGAGATGCGGACGTTTGTTCCGGGGCTTCGCCGATACTGCAGATAGGCTCGATGTGATAGGAGGCTTTTCATCGTGAGAGGGTATTGATTTTGCAACAGTTTGGCGACATACAGTCTGAAGCAACACATCACCCTCGCTTCCTCCTGTGGATGTCGGATTGCATGACGAGCGCTCAACAGCAGAACAAGAAGGAGACTCGGGACCTCGACAGCATCTTGGTACCACAGTGGATCTCGTCAGAAAGGGAAGAAACGTTTCGCATACTGTACAGCACGTTTCAAAATTTTAGGCGATACATTACACAAGCTCCAAGGTCCCCTTTTTTATTTTCCCTGGCTCTCTCCGTCCCGCTTACTGTTGCGACACCCGAGTTCTTGGGAAAATTAGTAAGGGTTTGGAAAAATTAGTAAGGGTTACCCTGCAATCAGTTTGTTTACCCAGGGTGCGCTAGTGAGGAGAGCAACCCACGTTCGGCCCGCCGACATAGGGCCAGGGGTCGGTCCAAGTCGGGGTCCGGTCAAGGTCCGAGTTGAACATAAAATCCCAAGCTGAGCTCCGGCTTGGGGGAATCGATCTCAGCAACTTTCTGAGGTCGTGCCCTTTTCCTTGCCTACCGCGCGCGCGTCCGTACACCCAGACAATCCATTAAAGCGCTTTAGTTCTAAGAGCATTTTGTGCGGGTGGCGACATGTCGTTTGCGTGAACATAGAATCGGACTATGGGCTGGTTAGCTTCATACAGGCTCCGAAAATTACGAAACTGACGCAACCTGACCTTATCGAATTCGAAACAAAGTATTCGATGTATTCACGAAAAGTTTCCGACGTGAATAAGGAAAGAAGTGAAGACAACCAAATCAAGATGGCGTCGATCCGTGACTGCATGGACGACAACCTTCTCCATGCCTTATGCATCATGGGTGAAATAGAAGGAGCGTCCTCTGTGGAAGAAGCGACTACGGAACAAGTCAAAGACTGGTTTGACGACCAACTCGCCATGTCTTCTCGCGGTATTGGAACCAGACTCAAGACCGCCGTGAATTCTGTCAAGTACAAATTATGCAACGAAGATTCGGCTGGTGCTGCTCTCACTTTCTGTGTCGATGCCGTCCGCGCGCTTGATCAGCAGAATGCGTCCGATGTTCTCAAAGACTGAGAATTCAACTAAGGTAATCGACATGTTACAAGAAAAGGTAGAGCCAGCTATCCTGCGCAAGAAGATCAAGGACGAACGCAAATATTGGTCTAAGGGTGAGCGCGGCTCTATCGCGCATTTCAAGAAGCATCTCGTTGCGCAAGCAGTTCTTGCTCGAGATTTCGAGGAGGCGATCCTCGGAATGAAGCAGAACAAGAAACATGACCGCGACACCGGTCGTGGAGCTGATGTCGAGAAGAGCTTTAAAAAGCAAAAATGTAGTGAAGGTTCGGGCAAGAGAGGCCAACGCAAAGACGTAGAATCGAAGCAATGGACTGACGGTTGTCTAAACCCGAATTGCGACGGAACGCATCGTCTCAAAGATTGCATCAGTACCTCCCCTGAAGAGAAGAAGCAGCTTTTTAAAGATTTCTACGACTCAAAGAAGAAAAATAAATCCGCTAAGTCTATTAACGCGTACACCGATATAACCCAACCGCCGAATGCTGAAGAAGGACGGTACCAAATCCTAATCGAAGACAAGGTCTCGGCTATCGCTCTCGGCGACACGGGGGCAGATTTCAGCGCGATCTCTGCGGCAACAGCCGCCAAGCTTTCAACAGCGGATACCACTATCAACATCAAAAAATTTGACTCACCCATGGTTTTAGAGAGCGCCTTCAAAACCGACCCTACTGTAAAGTTCTCAGCGTCACGGTCGGTAGTTCTTTCCATCACCATTTTCTTACCGGGCTCTAATATCCCTGTTCGTATCCGTGGGATCGAGTTCCTTATAACCGACCAGGAAATGAACGAGGTGCTTTTGGGGCGCCCTTTTTTGAAAGCAATCGGTTTCAATCTTCACCAACACCTGGAACAAGTCCGTGAAGTCGTTCACAATCAGGACATCTCCAACATAAAATCTGGACACGCTAAGTTCTTGACGATGAACTACAGGGGACTCGCCTACCAATCAACCGACGATGACCTAATAGAATTACCAGAAGCAATAGCCGCCGGTATAGGCAAAGATTCGAAAGAATCCATCGATTCTGCTTTTTCCAAGATGCTCGGCGAAGCCCAGAACAATGGACTTACAGAAGAAGGGCTATCGCGCCTCATCAAGATGCTGGAGGATTACCGAGATATTTTTCGCATCAAACTGGGTCCTGATCCTCCAGCTAAAGTCGAGCCACTTCGGATCACCCTTGTCGAGAATGCTCACCCATATCGCTCCCCTTAACGTCGATATGCCTCTCAACAAAGCGATTTTATCGTGCGAACAATCAAAGAGCTGGAAGCGGCGGAAGCTATCTACAAGAACCCGAAGGCACGTTGGGCTAGTCCTGCACTCGCAGTTACAAAATCGGGCTCGTCAAGGCTACGTTTTACAGTGGATCTGCGGGGACTAAACGCCAGGACTGTTCCAATTACGTCGGCGATGCCACACCTG